TAGGAAATCTTACGGATTCTATACATGAATTCTAAAAACTCTATCCTAGCTCCACGACTTGACACAGGATGATCCTAAGGATACTGGAACTAGAGCTCTGATACCAACTGTGATGCCCCTGAGTTCACACAAGGTTGCAGTCCAAGGTAAAACCAAGAATATCAAATCTGTCATGCACCACACCGTGCAATAACATGTTTCACCATCACAATTACTATCTCTCTAGTAGAGTCAATAAAAGGTGTAGGTACAAAAACAAGTAAAAGATAATATAGAAATCAATAGATGAAATAATAGAGATCAAATTAATATTCCATCATCTAGCATACTAAAGTACAAGTCAATGTCTGGAATAAATAAACTGAAGTACTCAACAAGTCTCAAATACAAAAAATATCTGACAAGAGGAAATAAGGCACACAGCCTTTACAACTTCTAGAATAAAACTCTCAAATATCTAAACAAAAGTCTACAGTGGAGCTCAAAAGAAAAATATAACTAAATAGACAGCTGAAGCTAAAATGCATCGCCATCAACCTGCGACTCTCCGGGCTCCTGGCCCGTTACCTGAAAGAGGGAGGGACAATGAGCGTCAAAGCGCTAGCGAACAACATCACAACCAACCCCAAGGGATAGAGCTCGTTGTATAAGAAAATACAGTTAACACATAATAATATAAAATTATTTATCCTAACAATAATGGGTTTTAGTACTCAGGAAATTACAACACGAGCATAGGTACGTCGAGCGAAATAATCCAAACAAGGAAACCCTCATGTATATACCTTGTATCTCAAATCGTAAGTCCCTAAGTACCAAACCCAGAGTCTAATACATGAACAATAAAGAAAAGAAAATAAACCCATCTCTACTAATAAACATAGTCATGTCAAAGCCACAATAAGTATCATGTTCAGCCTAGGTAGATATCATGTCCCAACTTCATAAATATGTCATGCTCCAAACTCGATTATGTATCATGCTCAAGGTTTAGCAAAATATGTCATGCTCCAAACTCGATTATGTATCATGCTCAAGGTTTAGCAAATGTCCAACACATGGACTAAATGTAATGCTTGTCCAACACATGGACTGAATCATGCTCAAGGTTTAGCAAATGTCCAACACATGGACTAAATGTAATGCTTGTCCAACACATGGACTGAATAATATGCATGTCTAACACATGGACTGAAATGATAAGTATCCAACACATGGACTAATAGTGATGTATGTCCAACACATAGACTATAAGTAAAGAGGTGCAACTGTCAAAGGTATATGTGGAAAGATATACATATCCTAAACTCGCACGTGTCTCGATGTGCAGGTCTAAACTTGTGTCAAAAGTCAACCCCTATGTATAGATAAATCACTAACATTGAAATCAAATGTCAAGTCGTCGAGGCGACCCCGAAAAGCAACTCAAACAGGTTAAGAACCTGTAAAACATCTCATCAGTCGACTCATGTGTCAACTGATGCAATCAGACGACTCATTGGTCGACTGACAAGATCAGGCAGAACAACCTCAACTCACTAGTCGACTGATCGGTCGACTGAGAAACTGAGAAAAATAAAATCAGCCCATCAGTTGACTGATCAGTCGACTAATGGCTGATAAAATGCAGCCCGTTGGTCGACTGATCAGTCGACCAAACTGGCACAGAAACTGTTTGAACAAGTTTCGATTAATTGCCAAAATATCATCAAAAATTTATTTTTTTCATCATTTCCATGTAGTACTCTACTGATTCTAACATACATGTATCAAACTAAAACGAAATTTCACATGTAAATACATAAACAAAACCCTAAACATATGCATTCATGTTTTAAAAACATTTTGAAAACAAAAACTCGTGTTTGATCTCTTATTAAAACATTACAGATCTAGATCTTTGATTCACAAAACGTTGGTGAGTTTTTAACATTCTGAAATAACATATCTTCACATTATATGCTATAAAAAATCAAACCTTTGTACACAAAATACGTTTTGGCTCATCAAAACTCATAAAGAAAATCATTTTAAAACGTTTAGAAATATGGGACAAGGTTGGACGAGATGTTACTCGCCTTAGGGGTGATGAAAGCTCCTGGATCTGCGAGAGAGTGATTTCTTTCGCTGCAAAGTGAAAATCTCGATGAAAATCCTCCGAGTTCTCCCCAAAATCACCAAGAACGAACCTAGGGTTTGAGAGAGGAGAGAGGGGGCTAGGGTTTCTCAGATCTGATGATGAGAGGGGGTGTTTTCGGGTAGGGGAGATCATATATGAACAGCCAGACCCGACCTAAAACCCAAACCAATCAAAACAGACCCGAAACCTGGAAAAACTGAAAAACAGCTCGTCAGTCGACTGATCGATCGACTGATCTCGTCAGTCGACAGATCGGTCGACAGATCTGGCAATTTCTTGTTTCGTGCATGTTTTGCTTATTTGCAAAACCAACACAGAAAACTCTAAATACATACACTCATATCATCTCAAATAACTTGTTATCATGTACATCTATGACCTCAAGCTATTTATCACAATAATTCACATATATACATAAAAAAATATGGGGTTTTACAGTTCCTTAGTACCTGAACGTTCCAACTAAAGCAAGTTGTGGCTCCTGCCGCCCTTGGCCACCAGGGTGTGCCTCAACAAGAGTAGAATCTGGACTAAAAATCACTGATTGTGCCCTCTTCTCATGTACATCCGAAGGATCCTTCAGAGAATCTTTCCTGTGTTTTCCTCCTTTCTCTTTCTATTTGGAGCCCTACTGCCCAGACCCTCTAGCAAGCCTCTTTCAGGTCAATATAGCTCGTTTTCCGAAGGTGGATGTAGAAACTATAACGTCATGCAAATCAGAGCCAATATCGGTATCCATGGGCAAGGGTACATGAGGGGTTTCACACCTCACCGTGATTGGAATGATCTGTAGTGGAGCACTACTACGTGAATCATCATCCTGAATATTATCTGAGACCATCCGAGATGATGGTTGTTTCTGCCCCTCACGATCTGTTTCAGTTGCTCCAGAAGACCGAGTCTCAAAGGCCTTGAAAGATGGAGGGGGTTCTCCGAGCCAAGAACCATATCTGCTTTTGAATGTGATAAAAATACCATCGACTTATACACTTCGTTTGTCACACTCAGCAGCTTTGTGGCCAATAATGCCACATGAAAAGCAAAAGTCAGGAAGCACACTCAGCAGCTTTGTGGCCAATAATGCCACATGAAAAGCAAAAGTCAGGAAGTCTCTCATAGGTGAGGAAGAGCTCAATAATGCCACATGAAAAGCAAAAGTCAGGAAGTCTCTCATAGGTGAGGAAGAGCTTCTCAATCTCCCCAATCTCTTCAAAGCAAACACGTATGCCTCTTTTTAGAGGCTTAGTAATATCCACGAGAATTCTCAGCCGCATCATGTTATCCCGCAAATCCATCCCTTTAGTTCTCCTATAAGCGAGCCATAGTCTCTGGCGCACCTCTCCTTCATCGCAGCCAGTGGTACATTCTTGATATTTATCCAAAATAAAGTTAAAGAAAAATCTAGAGAAGTTGGGGCACCGACCCCATGAGGAACAATCAAATTGAGCAAGTTCCTTTCAAAGCACCATGACCCACCATCAAGCACTTTCTCCCTCTCTGCATCAGAACCGAATCTGAAAAGGAAAGTATTCCTTTCACTGTAATATTCCACCTAGAAGGGGGCATCTACAATCCATATCTTCCTAAGGACACACTCAAAATCATATCTATTAGCAATCTTCCTACCAAAAACCTTCCCAAGAGACAATTGTTAAGAGAATGTGAATTTGTCTAGTCTTTAGTTGACAGAAAAACAGGGCCATCTTCGTCGTCTAAGTTGCATTTGGCACAAAGCTCGGCCAGCCTATCATCATCAATTCTCGCCATGTTTCAAATTGATTTGGAGCCGAGATGCTGCTTGAAATGGTGATGCCGTTAATATGAGACCGATAGACGGTCTTAAAACGACGATGCCGTTAATTTGAGTCTGAGAGACGGCTTAAACGGCAATGCCGTTAATTGAAGACGAAAGACGACCCTAAAGCAACGATGCCGTTAATTGGAGACGAAAGACGACCCTGAAACGGCGATGCCGTTAATTGAATATGAAACGACAGTGCCGTTAATTAAATATGAAACGGCGATGCCGTTAAATAAATAAGAAACGGTGATGCCGTTAATATGAGACCGATAGACAGTCTTAAAATGGCGATGCCGTTAATTTGAGTCCGAGAGACGGCTTAAACGGCGATGCCGTTAATTGGAGACTGAAATGCAGCCCTAAAACGACGATGCCGTTAATTGAATATGAAACGGCAATGCCGTTAATTGAATATGAAACGACAATGTCGTTAATTAATTATGAAATGGCGATGTCGTTAATTAATTATGAAACGACGATGCCGTTCGTGTGAGCCGAGAGACAGCTACCTCGGAGGCCGAGATGTGGGAAACCCCAAAGACTGCCGTGAGGGTTGGGGACGAGACTCAGATCTCGCTAAATAATTCGCCGCAAAACTATCAGAGTTAGACAGGAAGGGCCGTGCCTCAAAAAGATTGTAGAAATCGGCCAGAGAAAAAAATAAAAAGAGACGGTCGTGCCGATGGAGATCCATCACGAGGGAGGGGGAGAGAAGCGTTACGTGCTTCCATAGAGGAAAAGGAACGGACTAAGATCTAGGGTTTTCCAAACTAGGGTTTTCAAAACCCTCTATAATTAATCTTTTACTTTTACTAACAACTACGTAAAACTATTCAGTTGGCGGTGTCTGCGAGATAAATATAGAACGATAAATAATTTCCTCAAACTAAAGTATGTAAATGTTGAATTTAATTTTTTGGATATAGAATTTCCATTTTGTCGGTAAACATGTGATGGATATCATTTGAAACATAGATAATTTTCACAACTGAACTTAAATAGATAATTAAAATAAAAATCAAATGCTGGATTTTTAAACTATGGACTCCGGGGGAAAATATGGACAGAGAAATTAGCAATAGTTGTGGAGAATCATCGACAATCAGTCGTAAAATTATGATTGATCTAGAGGTATTAGAATTCATTTATGAGTATAATTTCAAATAAAAAGAAAGAATAACAACTTGTTTTATATCCTACTTAACCTCCAAACCGACCAAATTAATTCCAATTATTAGTATCGAAGCCAAGTTGTGGACCAAAGGGAGTAAAAAGTCCACCCACCTCAAGTCTTATCAGCCCCCAAGAATTTTACTCATGCAGCTAACCTCAAAGGAATGGGATATAGAATTCATTTTGCAGTTGTAATCTCACCAAAAAAAGTAAATCACAAGCTAAGCGGCAATTGCTCTTTATCACATTAGGATTATACTCACGATATCTGACGAAGAATCATCTATAAACACATTGGGATATAAGGGCAAAAAAGAAAAAAAAAAAGTTTAATCTGGAATTTTTTTTTTTTTTGAATTTAAGCACCCATTAATTTAGGACCGCAAATCAAGCAAATGCGATTTCCATTTACATGTTGATAACCCTTCTAGAAACGGTACCCGGTCACAGCCGGTCACCTCCTCCACACGGACCACACATAAACATAGAGCGTATCGGAACAACACCGTGAAAAAGTGAGAACGAGAAGCATCAGCCGGCACAGAAATCAAGCTCGCGTGACCTCACACGTGCTACTTTCAAAAAAAAAATCAAAATACTTTCCCCAGTGGGCCCCCCACCGTGGCTCCGAGTCTCCCCCACGCGAAAAGATCTGGAACGCCTCGCGAGCACGAAAGGAGATTCTACCAACAGCAGAGCGGTGTCCTCGCCTCCGAGATCTCTCTTCCTTATCCTACACCCACGCACCTTGACTCCTCGGTCTCGTTGACTCAGTTAACCCCTCGATAAAAACCTCCTGCGTAACATCCTACCGCATCCGCCCCTCTAATAAATAAATTCGTCTAAACCCTTCCTCAAGGCCCTGCCCTCCCTCCCTCGCTCTCTCTCGCCCCCAAACCCCCTCCTCCCTCCTTCGTCTGAAATCTCCAACCCCAACGGTAAATGGCATGCGGGCGCTTCTCCTGTGCGACCGCCGGGTAGTGGGCGCCGGAGCGCTCCTCATACTGGTTCTGATGCGCGTCATGCGGCCTCCCCAGGTCAAAGGCCAGCGCGCCGTCGACTGAAGATGGGGTCCATCACCAACGACAAGGTCCAGGACAACTAGCAACAAGTACTGCGTCGTTTTTCCGCCGCCCAAGCGCAAACGGCCTCGACTCGCGGAGGAAATGTCCCCGACTTCGTCGACACCTCTACACACCTCGTCACGACGCATCTACGAGTGGGGTGGGGGCCAGTCCTGTCCACTTCTCCCCTCTCTCCCCGGCAAAATCCCACCGCGAGGAGACCCGGATCCACGAGGAGCGGTTGTGGATCTCATCGCGGCCTCGGCCGGGCCAGAAGATCCTCGACGTCGGGTGCGGCGTCGGCGGGCCGATGCGGGCCATCGCGGCCAGGTCCGGATCGAATGTCGTCGGCATCACGATCAACGAGTACCAGGTGGGCCCGAGACGCCGCCGCCACAACAAGAAGGCGGGGCTCGACTCACGTGCGAGGTCGTCTGCGCGCAACTTCCTCAGAGTGCCGTTCGCCGACTCGAGCTTCGACGGCGCGTACTCGATCGAGGCGACGTGCCACGCCCCTCAGCTGGAGGACGTCTAACGGCGAAGTCTTCAGGGTCCTGAAGCCCGGAGGGCTGTACGTGTCCTACGCAGTGGGTGACGACGGAGCTGTACAGGGCCAGGAGCCGGAGCAGCTGGAGACGATCAGGGGATCGAGAGGGGGGACGCTCCTGCCCGGGCCCTCAGGGCCCACGACGAGCATCGCGGCCGTCGCGAAGAAGGTGGGGTTCGAGGTCTTGGAGGAGGAGGACCTGGCGAAGCCCCCGGCCGGGCCGTGGTGGACGAGGCTGAAGATGGGGAAGATCGCTTACTGGAGGAACCACGTGCTCGTCAACGTCATGACCTTCCTGAGGATCGCGCCCAAAGGAGTCGTGGAGGTCCACGAGATGTTGTACGAGACCGCGATCCATCTCGCCAACGGAGGGGACAAGGGGATTTTCAGCCCCATGCACATGATCCTCTGCAGGAAACCCACCGGGACGAATTGAGGGCTGGTTGGTTTTTACCGTCAGCGGGTCGGGTTGTTGTTGGGTTTTTTTGGGGATTTGTTATCCCCCTCCTCCTTGTGTTTCGCTTAGTTGTAGCTTCATTTCATTGGTGTATGTTTTACTTTCTGCTGTTGACGATGCTAATGTTTGACGAATCACCCCGACGGGGTTAATTGTGGCAGTGAATTAATGGGAATTAAAAGCGCGAGAAATCTTACTAAAAAGAGTAGCGTTTCCTGACTCGATAGAGTAGGTGGATCACGTGAAGGGGGGGAGACATCCCTCTCTGGCTCCGCGCCTGCGCTGCGCTGCGCTGAATAAAAGTTTTGAAACTTTACGCACAAGCACGATGTTCTTTCTCTTCTGGTCCCCTTGGCTTTTGGCTTGGGGTTTCTCAGTTGTCTGTTGTATTTATTTGTTTATTAAAATTGAATGAATTTTTAGGATGCCAGCTTAGAGGTTGTTTGTAAAATATTCTTTTCTAACTTTATGTGCTCATGCTTCTGCAGGGAAGGGATTTAATAATTGCGATGTCACATGCGCTGCGCATTATGTTCTTTTGGTATGTGTGTTGACAGATGTATGCACTGACGCGGTAGCCCTGGTTCTGTGCTCTGTAGGGGTGAGCACGGTTCGATTCGGGTCGGTTTTTATCAAAATTTGAACAACCGAACCAAACCACCTACAATTCAAAACCGAACCGAACCATTGCAAATCGGTTCGGTGCGGTTCGGTTCGGTTTGTTCGGTTCTAACTTCATCAAGTATAACTTCACTTCAATTTATCTTTTATATATTCTTATTACCCTATGCCAGCATGTATTTATTTTTTAACTTCACTTCAATTTATTATTCTGGCTCATGTATGTATATTGTTTTTAAGTAAAGTAACTTGTCCTTTTGGATTAAACACTAGGCTCTGACGTTGTAATTTTTTAGTAACGGACTTGCTTTGTCTTTGGGTAAACGGGTAGGGTTTGAGGCAAGGGAATATATTCGGTTGGTTCGGGTCGGGTCGGTTTGAAAAATTGTCAACCCGACCCGAACCGTCTTACCCATAAAACCGTTTTTTTCGGGTCGGTTCGGGTCGGTTCGGTCGGTTTTTTCGGTTTGAACCGAACCGTGCTCACCCCTAGTGCTCTGGGTTTTTTTATACTAGTTTAAAGCACAGTATACGTGGTAAAATATCATGATTAATTATTTTTAATTTATTTTTTTATTAAAATTTATTTTTCAGTTTTACTTTAATAGTTTTTGGTCACCTATATCTCTAAGCTTTAACGGTGTGATTATTTATTTTTTTGCGCTTGTTTGAATGGACTACATTAAATTTAAATTTTCATGTTGATAATTGAACTGACATGAAACAGATCTAACAAAATTCCTTCTAAATATTCATAATTTTACCCAAAAAATAAACTATTCTCTATAATATTTAGAAAATAGATTTTTTATTCTTTTTATTTTATTTTTATTAAGTCAAGATCAATCGTTCTCCACCATTATCTTTTTCTTGTATAAATCTAGAGTAGTGTTTTCATTTTCTACATCGATTGTGACATCAGACTAGAAGTGGATTTTTTGTACTGTTATTTTTTCATGGGCTCAGTTCATTTTTTGTCTTCTCGTCTTACTTTACAAAGAAATTGTATTTATTTTCGATGTTCAACACAAAATTCTAGAAATATAAATTTTGATTATTTTCTAATGGGATGCACAATGATCAATATTTTTAGGCATAGTGGATTTTGGTGCATCATAATAAAATTTAGCAGTATGGTTTTTTCGGTCGCAAATGGTACACTTGTAAACTTTGTTATACATGTGTGCATAATGAATAGGTTTCTTGGAAACAATTTTGTGGGACTTTACACACACGTCTATAAGTTTTTCATTGTTGACAATGCATGTATTTAATATTGAATCTAAGGATAATATCCGTTTCTTTATTTGATTCAACTCATCATTTGAAATATGTACATTGTCACAAGAAGTAGAACAAACAAGAGTATCTAATTTATTTTTATTAGCCTCTACTTCTAACATGACATTATTCTTATCATAAATCAAACATGCGATATCCAATCTTAATTTTTTATTGCATTCTTTAAGATTAACATTTTTATTTATAATAAAATCAAACTTTGATACAAGGGACTCATGATCGGATTTTAATTAAACATGCTTGCTTTTTAGATCTTTAAAATTATATTTTAATTTATTATGGTTATGCAATAATTTTTCATATTCATGTGCGAGCTCGTCATAAGTAAAATAATCATCGTTATTAGGCTCGCATGCCTCACTAGGGCTATTGCCTAGTGGTTGTGTGCATGAAGATGAAACTCCTTTTGAACTTGAAGCCGAATCCTCCAAATCTTGTCGGATTGCCTCCAAGTCACCTTGATGTGTTTCTATAAATTTTCAAAACATATAAGCACTATCAAAAGAATCAAGTTTGCTAGCAAAAGATAAGCCAAATGCATCAGTAAGAAATTCAAACAAAGACTTATTCATAGCAAACAATCTAATATCATTATCACTCCACTTGGATTTCTCCGTAGTGGGTACAATATAAGCGCATTCAATAATTTCTCATATATCGTTATTTGTAGATCTAGCAAAAAGTTAAATCTAGCACACCATTATTCATAGGGAAAATTACTAATTCTAGGAGCAATGTTAATAGCATAACCAAGACTAGTGCATTGTGCATGTCCATGATATGTGCAAGCAAGAAACAAATAAAATCAAAACTAGATAAGCACCAAAAAAAAATAAGAATAAGAGATCTTTAACTCAAGGCAGTTAAATCTTAAATCAAAGAGTATCAAGCTTTGATATCAATTGAAAAATCCTAGATGGGGGTGAATAGGATCAATGCTAATCTAATCCCGATTTTATACTAATTAAAAACTTTCTTGATTAAATAATTCTGTAAGAGATATGTGAGTGAGGTATGAGCAAGAATGTAAAAAAACAAGTACAAAAAATATACGCAAAGCAAACTCAAACACAAGATATGTTCACAGAGTTCGGTCAACCCTTGATATACGTCTCCGCTCCTCACCTCGAGGAGATCTCCACTATCGACACACCCGGTTTGAAAGCAGGAACTTCTCTACACATTCGGTTTTTTAGCTCATCAAAAACTCTACAAGTCACTCATAATGTACATACACAAACTACAACCTCAAGTTTCGGTCCTCACGAATCGCCTCCCTCAAGTGCTCGGCTTTACTACCTCTCTCTAGGCTTTACTACCGACGTCACTCATCGTGGTATCGACTACGTCCTCACCACACACTCCTCTCGGTGTAAATGTGTATTACAAAGTGAATCTCATAATAATGCTCAATTACAAGATTTGTTCTCTATAATAGATGAGAACACAATTTAGGCTCACTCTCAAGGTTACACTCACCACAACCCCAAATGATACAATATGTGAGAATATTAAGCTCAATGGTTGTGTATGCAAGCAATGATAAAATAAAATCAAACAAAATTAAAGTCTACCAAATATAAATATGACAATGTAAATATAAAAAAGCTAGATAAATGAGTTGAGAAAACTTCTCTAGAACAAGAGAGATGGAGATGTGAAATGGAAAGCTCAAACAAAAGATGACCTCCTCTTCTTGTGAAACAATCTTCACAAAACCAATTTTATAAACAAACACTTAAAGAAACTTAAACCACCCTTAAAACTTATTTTTAAACTATCTTTTTGTTAGGTCAGAAGTGAAATAGTAGGGGGTATATCTAAGATGAAGAAACAAAGCCCAAAATCCAAGTGAAACCCAACAAAAGGACAAAAAAAAATAAAAACAGGAAAATTAGCCGTTACAGACCATCAGTCGACAGACGGGTTGGACCAATCAACTGATGAGCTGGCCGTTACAGGTAACTAACAGCTCATCGGTCGACTGATGAGCATGGTCAGTCGACTGATGATCTCATTAGTCGACTGGTCAGTTAACCAAATAAGAAACATAAACTTTTGATGATTATAGGTAGTTTCATCAGTCGATTGATAAAACCATCAGTCGACTGATAACATGTTTTTAGCCTGAATTAAATAGTAAAAATAAAATTCAAATCTTTTTTAAAAATAGCAAATAAATTCAGAAAAATATAAAACTTTGAGGAATGCTTGTAAACATGAAAATGAACATGTTACAAAAACTGGTTTTCAAATAGCACTTTATATTTGTGAAATCTTATCATTTTGCAAAATCACATAAGTATGAACATGTTAAAAACTTGATTTTGTCAGAATGACTTAAACAAAACTTTGAAACACTTTAGAATGAATTTATATACTTATACAAGATATGAAAATAGTATAAATAAGTCTTTAATTTATAAACATAATATTTTACAAATTTAATAGAATATAAAACACATAAATGTGAAAATGAAGATATATATATTGCTTCATATCTATATAGCTAAACCAAAACAACTTATCCACATAGAAAACAAATAAATATTATATATCTATTTGTTCGCAAAATCTTTGTGGATAAAACAATAAACCATTAAGTTTTGTGTGTATAATATCGAGCTTAAGATATTAACACACAAAGTATAAACCCTAAACTAATTTATCCAAGCTTGATAGATCTTCAATATGAAAGCACCAATTGAAAGCACCAAGCTGGAATTGATCTCCAATATGCTTGTCTTGGTAAACTTGCGGATGAAGCTTGAACTTGGATATTGACTTGAATGCATAGCTTCACACCGATATTTCCTTCCATCCTCCAATGGATATGATCGTGAAAGTTCTAGTCCATCCATCTACCATCATCGATATTTGTGTAGATTACGTAACAAAATAAATACAAACACTCAACACACGTTATTAGGAATTGTTTATGATTATCAAAATAAGATTAGGGAATAGGCTCATAAACATGAAACCTAACAAGGCTAACAATCATACTCCTTTCAAATCTTGTGATGAATGTATATATCAGTAATTTGAATTTGTGTTGCCTTTGTAAAGAGCCTTGATGGAGGTGCTTTTGTCAATGTAGCTTCTTCTGACTGCACATTAGCGTTAAAATGTAATATTTTTTATTATGTTATATGGATGTTCACTTGGTTTACTTATCATTCTCTTTTTCTTTTAGAAAGTTATATCTTTGGATTGATAGATATTATTAACGTAATTTACAATGGCCGCATATCTCCTCTACAAATTTAAGACGGATATA